TCAAGCATTCAGATATTATAGTCTCAGTCACTCTCATCGAAGGCCTTAAACGATTCTGTCTATCTATCCCTTTTCGATAGAAACACTTTTTTCTTCTCGAACTCAGGGCCTCAGGCCTCTCACTTGCCTTTTTCACTCCACACTTGAGCCACAACCCCACTTATGGCTTTGTTTTGTTTTCTGGTTAAAATCGAAGTTAAGGAACTCCTGGACTTTCTTGGAAGCCAGGGTTGGCTTTGAACTAGGACCCCCAGATCTCATCCTCCTGAGTAGCTAGGATGACAGGTGTGAGCCACCAGTGTCTGGCTTGCCTTGCTGTTTTTCTGCCCGACACGGATCGTGCAGACCCCCTCTGGACGACCACGTCCTCCTCGGCTTTCCTGGGCTAGAAGGAAGCTCCCTCTTTGCAGGTCGATTGCTGTTGATCTTTATAGTCACCGTTCCCGCCTGACTCCCGAAGCGTCGGTCCGTCCACAGCAGGTACCGGGCGGTGCAGGAGCTGCCCGGGGTTCCGAGACTCCGCTTGCATCGCCGGATTTCCAGGCCCCTAACCAACGACGCGGGCCGACGCGGTTAGGTCCCCCCTGCGTCCCGGCGAGTCCGGATTTTCCGTAGCCCGGCTGGGACCTCCTTGACGTCCCTCCTGCCCGCCCGTCTTCCCGCCCGGGGGCCGAGGAGGGCGCGCGGGCGCCGGCGGGGCCCGGCCACGCAGGGCGGGCGCCTCCCACCCGTCTCCGGTTCGATTTATTTATTTATAATTTTTTGGAGGGAGGGGGCGTTCAATGAAGGGAAGAGGCGGGGCGGCGGGCGGGGCCTGGGCGCTGACGTCAGCGCCGCGGGGCCAATGGCAGGCGGGGGGCGTTCCTCCCCATTCAGGACTCCTCGCCTGGCTCGGAAGGTATGTTAAACAGCTGCTTTTAATTTGCTTCCCCCCCTGAATCTCGGGCATTTTGGGGGGCTAGTTGGCTGGGCCCCCCGCTTTGGCTAGCCCGAAGCGGTGTGGGCGCCGTGGGTCTCCAGACCCGGCTAGGGGGAGGCGCGGAGCCCCGCGGCCGAGGTAGGCGAGGGGCAGGCCAGGAAGGAGAGCGCTTGGCGCCGCCTGCTCGCCCGTGTGTTTCCCAGCCGGGCTGGAGCCGCGGGGAGGGGGCGGCCCGGCCGGGGGGCGGCCCTGCGCCCGCCGCACCTCCGAGCTTCTCTCCCCGAGCCGGGTGTGCGGAGGGGGGCGTCGGTAAGGCGCTGGGCAGCGAGCCGACTGGAGACCGCTCCCGTTTATGCCTTTTTCTTTTTTTAAAAAGAAAAATACCGTGGAGAGAATGGGGTGGGGATTCCGTACCCCGACTGGAAGCCGGCCCTGGCTGGACTGCGGCGGCGCGCGGGCTTGGCTGGGGGCCCCGGCCCGCGCCGGGAGGGCTGGGCCCTCGGTGTCCCGACTTGGTGGAGACGCGGAGTTCGGAGCCAGCCCGCGAGCCGCCGCCGGGGTGCTCCGCTGACCACGCGGGGCGAGGGGGGCCGGTGCCCTGAGGGTTTTGTTTCTGCCGGCAAACTTGGAGGGGGCAGTGGGCGCCCCGGGGAGGAGGCGCGGGCGCCGGAGGCCCGCGGTTGTTAAGGACTCTGGGGGCGGGGGCAACGCCGGGCGGGCGGGCGGGAGGGACCCGGAGGCGGGAGAAGGAGCGAGCGCCCTTGTGCCTCGCCCCCCGCGCCGCTCGGGGCTCCCGGAACTCCCGGGCTGTAGCCGCGCCGCTACGATGCGCCGCCCGCCCGCGCTCGGGCGGGGAGCCCCCCTCCAGCCGGCAGTACCGAAAACCTCCAGGAACTCGGCCGACGCGACTCGCGGCCCCAGCTGATCCCTTTTGCAAATATGGTGCTGCCTCCTTCCCCGCCCACCGCGCGGCGGCCGCGGCGGCGCCGGCTTCCCCCTCCCCGGGCCGTGCGGCGGTCGGGGCTTCCTCTTCCCGTGAGGGGCCGCTGCGGGCCCTGGGGCGGCGGGGGGGGGGCTGGGGCGTGGGCGTGTATGCACGCCCACGGGGGCGGGGGACGGCCCGAACCGAGGCAGTGAAGGTCGGAAACTGGGAAAACAGTCCCCGGGCTCGGGAGAAGGAAATGCATTAGTGGGCGGGGAGGGGCGCGCCTGTCAGCTGGGATGGCGGCCGCGGGCAGGGGTGCGGCGCGGCGGAGTCCCGCCGCACGGCGCGGGGAGCCGGTCCCCGGAACGCGGGCTGCCCCCGCCGTCACTCTGCGGCCCAGACTGTTTACTATCTCCTCGGCTTGGGCTTGTGCAATCGGCCTGGAGGGGGCCCGAGGGGCGGGGCCGCTTCCTCCCTTCCACCCACCTCGGGCTCCCCCGGAGGCTCCGCCTCCTCTTGTCTTCCATTGGCTGGGCGAGCCTCCCTTTTCCCCTTCCCCCGTGCGGATTGGGCGGGATTCCCCAGTGCTCCGCCTATCGGGAGGTCGGGCTGGAGTTTAAGTTGCTAGGATTTTCTCCCCCCCCCATTGAGGGCGGAGGGAGGATTCCGGGGCCTTTCGGAAGACGTGCGGCCACGCCCCCACGCCTGATTGGCGGAATGAGTAAGGCCCGCCTCCTCCGTCCGGGGCCCGTGGGGCGGGGGAAGTCCTCCCCTCCCCGCCCCCTCCTGCCGCGGCTCGGGAGCGCGCCCGGCACATGTGTGAGGTCCACCCGGCCGCTCCGCGCTGCCCGCCCGCCCGGAAGTCCCGGGCTCGGCGCCCTGGGAGAAGGGGGCGGGGAGGCACACAAAGATTGTGGCCGGGCTGGAGGTCGGGCGGCCCTCGGGTGAGCCCTGGGGGTCGGGATCGAGCGGGTTTGGGATCTTCTGTCTGCCTTGGTCCCCCCAAGTCTGAAGTTCTGGTCCCTGGCATGGCCGTTTCCGCTGCGGTCCTTGACTTCCTCGAGCCCCATTAACCTGCAGAATCCGGCGCCGGCCGCGTCTCCTGCCCCAGACCGGGCAGGTGCCCTCCTCCATGGGCGCCATTTAGAACTTGCCGCGTCCCCAAAGATCTGGGGTCGTCGGGAGGGCCGCCTTGGCCTGAAGGGAGGGTCCGAGGTGTGTGCCCGACCCGACTTAAAGGCGGCTTTCGGACCGTTCTGCTGGAGTGCCGCCTGCTCGACACCTCGGAGCGGTTTGGCTTGGGGGTTTGACTTATTTTTAGAGCTCCATCCTGGGGGCAGGCTTGTCACAATTACCCGGGAGTTTATACCCACCTGTTGCCAGCACTCGTTTCCTGCCGGGCCCCGCAAGAATTGCGGAAGCAGGACAACCTTGAACCTAGGAATCGGCTCCCCGGGCCGCCCAGTCTCCTTTGCTCGTGAAGCGGGAAGACTTATCCGGCCCCTCTGTCCTGG